ATTTTACCACAATCTAGTATTCTAGACTTCGTGGCCTACTAGCCATTTTTAATAACTTAACAATGTACACTGATTATATTCTAGTTCATTCGTGGAGGATTTTAATCTAACATAAAAACGAAAAAGTAATCATCGTTTACTGGTAGGTATAAATATTCTGTTATTTATATGTTTTTCTGCATTGTATATGGTGTGTATGGCTTTGATATATTAGTTTATTATTTATATTGTTAAAAGTTTATATTAAATACATTAACGTACTCAATAAATGAAATTAATAATTTGTAAAACATTTTTAATGAAAAAGGGCTTAAAATAGCAATTCAATTTAGCTTATAATCTTTTACTAACTTTTATAGAGCTTCTAATATCCTTTTTTATTTTTAACTTTATAATCCATAATTAATATCTATTGTGCAAAAATGTTTTATCTAACCCTTAATAAAAAACCAATTTGTTAAGTTCCGACACACGCGAAAAATGAATATTTGATAAACTTTTTCATCGGCTCGATTAACCTATTTAGATGGTGAAAAATCAGTGAACGTATATCGGAGCATTTAATCTAAAAGGGAAGTCGTGAATGATAGCGGCAAAAAATGCAGCAAAAAACGCCCCATTATAAATTGATTTCAAATAAACAGCCCTCTAATCGCTTTAATAAAAGAGAAAATTAAATATTTTCTTTTCCAATCGGGTTGGCCATTGCAGTCGATCAAATATTTAATGCGGGATTTTATTTATTTATTAGATCAATATTATAGTCGAGCCGCTCTACCCCGGTCAGACTTTTTTACCGTAATTACAAGATAAAATTCCTAATTGCACTGCGATTGTACAGTAGCACACACTCAACTTTTACTGTTTATCGATTTTTTTCCTACTCCTATTTTAAAATGCCTAGGAGAAAAGCACATAAAGAGTAATTTATAATGAATTAAAGTTTAGACTTTGATAATATAAGGCCTTCTAAATGATTATAAGCCACGTGACTAGTCTGTTTGAACCAGTAATTTTATTTTCTTCATGTCGACAAATTTTCGGTAAATGCTAAAAATTACTAAAACGACCAACATTTCGTTTTACCGGCTGGCGATTGGTGTAATTTTTCACGATTTCATTCAACCAATCAGCGATCGGATTATCTGGAATGTAGACGCAATGGTTTGTTACTGTTTACTGTAAACGAATCATTATGACCGGCGACGCTAAATTGACATTTATGCATTTTTCAGTAGCGTCTGTTGTCCGTGTCTGCTTTTTATCGTTTCAATTCATTTTCTACCATCGTTATATTATTTCGTATTTGCTACATTTAAGTCGTACGTATTTCACAGTTAAACTTTTTTGATACTTCTTCGCACACTGGTAAGTTGTAACAGAAAGCTTCGATACCAGAAGCAAGTGATGTGTCTTACGTATGTCAGAATATACTTGATGTTGCAAATTTAAAGGATCAGATATACTGTGTGATACATGCTAAATCCGATTACTGTAGATCATTCTTCAACAAGGCCATGTTGAAATATTGAGGTCAAAGATATAAGAGACCTATATAGTTTATCATAGATGATAAAATAAAAAAAGTTTAGTTAAGTTACAATTAATAGCTATTGGTCTGTAATTAAAATGCCGTTGGATCACTTGATTTTAGAATAAGACAAATCTTTGTCGTGTAAATTAAAATTCATTGCACAAGAAGGACCAGAAAGCAAATAACTAGTACAAAAATATTTAGTAAACGCATTGATTACCAAGGGTCACTGTAAGTGACATCCTCATAGGTAATCTGGAATTTTTTAACCTTTCCGTTTTGACTGAATACAGGCCAGAACTTTTTCGGGTCAGTAAGAATGTTCTTTTCAGCCTTTTAATACATACATGCTATATTTATGTGTACATTTAATTTTTCCGCTAAGATATTTAAGAGTTTCTAAATACAGTGTGTTCCCGGATAGGATACCTCACTCTTGTAAACTATTTTTATTGTTGATTTTACGAGAAAAAGTTATTCTTGATCAAAGGTTTTGCTTGACTTGGGAAGCCATGGGCAGTAATAAATACGTAATATAACATACAGGGTGTCCTTAAAATTTCAAAATGTGAAATTTTTCCTAAGCAATGTGCCTTTAATTTTTGTTTTTGTTAAAAACTGTATTTAACAAAGTTGTTCGACAGCTCAAGAAATGCTTAATTACGGGGTTTAGTCAAGAAAAGAACAATAATCACATTTTGCAAATAAAAAGGCGTCGCAATTTTTAACTATCTTAAATACCATATAATTACCATTGATATTTCTTTATCGACGTCATAGTCAACATATTTAGTTGCATTAACTGCCCACCGAATATTTTTTATTAATATTGCTAACCCTGGAGCAATGAATTTATATTGTGAAATGTTATGGAATCGATATGCAATATAAATTTTTAATGAAAAGTATCCATAAGTAATTATAATTCATAGAGCACTTCGCAAGCTAATTATAAAATTCGATGCCATTGGCGATGTAAAGAATACAATGGTAGCGATGCTACTCCTGTTGTAGTTATGGACTCTGTACAAGACAATCCAAAGATGTCATTCAAGAAAAGGTAAGAAAATATAGATATTAGCAGATCTCATATTCAAAGAATTTTAGTATACAACATAATCTATTCATTCAAACCAATGTTTAATCATAAATTACTTGATGGAGATGATGGTCGTCGTTTGGACATTTGTTTAACAATGGGCGAGAAATTTATTGAAAACATATCCTTTCATCATAATATTTTATTTACTGACAAATCAATATTTACAACTAATGGCGTGGTTTCCTTTCAAAATTGTAGATATTGGGCCAAAGATAATCCAAATTTTTGATTGATAACTAATAGTCAAAATTTAAAAAAAGTAAATGTCTGGTGTGGCATAATGTATCATGGTCCTTAGTTTTTGGAAGAAAATCTTAATAAAAATTCATATTTGGAAATTCTCAATAATTTCGTTTTGGCAGAACTAGATAGCGAAAATTTAGAGTTCCGAAGAAAACTAGCATTTCAACAAGACGGATGCCCTGCACATTCCACACTTCTAGTGAGAAACTGGTGTGACGTTCATTTTTCGGACAAGTCGGATTCTATTATGTTTTACAATTTCTATTTGCTTTAAGTAAGATAGTTAACAATCGCGTCTTGTTTGCAAAATATGATTATACTTATTTTCTGACTAAACCCCATACTTAAGCATTTCTTGAGTTCACCAACAATTTTGTTAAATACAGTTTTTAATGAAAAACAAAAATTAAAGGCACTTTGCTTATGGAAAATTTCACATTTTGAAATTTTTTGGATGCCCTGTATGTTTTATTACATATATGATTACTGCAAATGCCTTCCCAAGACAAGCAAAACTTTTTATCAAGAATAACTTTTGCTCGAAAAATCAACAATAAAAAAAGTTTACAAGAGTGCGGTTGCGGTACCCCATCATGGGACAGACTGTATATAGGCTGTTTGTAAATAAGTGCGAAATATTTTAGGGGGTGGTTGCCGAAGTTATTTTGTGAATAACAGTTCATATAAATGTAGGTCGAAATATGCTTCGTTTCCGAGATACAGAGTGTTTAAATTTAAATTTTTTATTTATTTTTATTAATTATTATTTCAAAGAGTTTTAAAGATATTGACTCGAAATTTGGAAAACACTTTGGAGGGATAAATGTGCATTTTTTGGGGTGATCCGAATATTTCTATTTCCACCAGTGGCGTTCGTGCGAGAATGCCACAACCTTTTTTTATAAAAAAAAGGTACGCCACTCACTTTATCCCGTTTTGATTTTTTTTTTAGAAATCCGCCATCAATTCTGAATGAAATTGGTCTCTTTAATTTTTTTCGTAGAATGCACCGTTTTTGAGGAAAAAATAAAACATATATTCTATTGCAAGTTGAGTATTTTTAATTTCTATTGATACGTTATCTAGTAGGTTGCTGTCAATATTTCTAAATAAGGTACAACCATCAAATTTGTAGTTAATATCTTTAAAACTCTTTGAAATTAATAAAAATAAATAGAAAATTAAAATTTAAACACTGTATCTCGGAAATGAAGCATATTTCGACCTACGTTTATGTGGACTTTTTTTCACAAAATAACTTCGGCAACCACCCTCTAAAATATTTCGCACTTATTTAGAAATACCCTGTATACAGGGTATTTCATAATGATATGCAAATATTTTAAGGTGTTTAGAAAGTAATTTTAGGGGGGGGGGGGGGTACTTCTAATATATTTTTTTGATTGAAAACGGTTAAAATTTGAATTTTGGTACACGTTAACAACTAATTGAATGGTATTTTTTGGTAGTCTTTTTTTCTGGTTTATGTCTTTGAATGAAAGAGATTAGCACCCCTTGGTTTTATTTCTCTCACAACTTTTTTCTACGTTAGCCAATTCCAATAAGAAAAATAGTACTCCATTTTTTCGTACACTTAATGGTTTACGAGCAATAAAATAAATTATTTTTCCCAGCCGATTACACATAATTAGTATAATAGTTACCAAAAACGATTGTCATTTTTGATGCATTTTTTGCAAAAAAATCTTTTTTATCAATAGGAAACGCTAAGCAAATATGAACTATTGGAAGTACCCTCCTAAAACTACTTCCTAAACACCTCCTCAAAATATTTGCACATCATTATGAAACACCCTGTATGTCAGTTTTATACTTCCTATAATTTTTTTGAAAATATTAGTCACTATATCTGTAGCAAACCAACGGGGATAACTACGATAATTAAAATATAAACAATTCACTTTTCGCACTAGTGCGTAAAATTTGTACTTTACGCACTAGTGCGAAAAAGTAAAATTTTACGTACTGTTCGGCGTGCGTAAAGTTAGTGTCTTACGCACGGTAGTAGAGGAATCTCTTTTCTTCGGTCTATGTTGTGCTGCTGGAAGATTAGACTTAGAAAATTGCTGATGTATGGAGAAAGCGTCTTCACGGACTCACCTGTATGTAGCCTGGTGTGCTGTTGGACGTGACTTAATTGTTTAAAGCGGCGATCGCAATAGGAACATTTGTACGGCTTTTCACCAGTATGTACTCGAATGTGTTGCACCAATTGATGATTACTACTGAACGACTTCAGGCATTGCTGGCACTGGTGCGGCTTGACTTCCGACCGACCGCTCAGCTCCCTGGCGTGCATCTGCATGGCCGATTTGTGCATGAAAATCTGTAAGAAATTGGCGAGGTTAGTTTTCCCCAAAACTTCGTTGTGTGTTAGGTTCGGTCTGATGTTGAAGGTGTATTGTGACTGAACCGCGGATATCACGTATATCACGTCAAAGACGGACTTTTTATTTACTGAATTTATCGTTCCATTTTGATCTAGCGTCTGCGGGTGACAAAATTTTGATAAAACAAAAATCATCTACTGTTGCCGATGCCTTAAGAATAAGCTTGATTAAATTATGTTGTCCTCATGTTTCAAACTATTTGGTATACGTAACTAATAGCATAGGTATTTGTGGATTCTAAGTTATGGAAAAATGCGATTGTGATTCCAATATATAGGAATAAGGACCCAAAACAGTAAGACCAAATAACAGTTTACCTTATTTGTCTACAGTTGCCGAAAAAGTAATGGAAAACCACGTAGTTTTTTTAGAAAAAGTACATCACTTCCACCTGTTCAATCCGTTGTCCAATGTCACTACTTACATGCTGATAAAAGAAGAAGTATTGCTATCATAATACTTAACTTTAGCAAAGTCTTTGATACTATTAATTATTAAGTACCTACTCTATTCCATTCTTAACTCATGTGGGTTTCAGAATGACGCTGTTTTGCTTATTTAATCATATTTTGATCGTACGCAAGCTGAAAGTTTGTGGAACAAATTATGTAAACCTGTGATAATTTCTTTTGGTGTTGCAGAAAGTTCCGTTTTGGGACCAAAAAAAACCAATTACTTTGCTAAATTTTCTCAATAAATTTCGCTACATAGATGTAAGTCGATGTCAGTTCTTATATTTATTCAATAAACGGCGAACGTATTATCATGATTTTTGTACAATACTTGATTGCTAATAATATTTCCTAATCTGTAAAATAATATTCTATTCCATGACAGATAATTTCTGACAGTTAAATCTTCCAAAATTTTCCTGAACCCATACAAATGGGTTAATTTTGTATAGGTACATTTTAAGTATGTAACTAATATAAAGGAATTATTTTATACCAAATTTACAATTTCTATCTCTACTTATTCTAAGGTAACTGATAGAATCTTATTTTTGAAGGATAGTAGAGCCTTTACTGATGTTTTTTTGTTAAATTTCATAAAATAAATCTTGTTTTAATCTCTTTAAGTAGTAAATTTAACATTTAGTTAACAAAAATCATTAAAATTAGTTATACTGTTTCATACAAAGTGCGTTGCAAAGTAAACAGGTATTTTAAAAATAAGAACAACAATAAGTTTTTTTGGCAAAACCGGAATGTCCTTGACGATGTTGATGTAAGCTTTTTGGATGGCTACTATGTCCACAAAACGCTTTCCTTTCATTGGTAAATGTATTTTCCGAAAAGGTATAAGTCGCACGGTGCTAAATCAGACGAATACGGGGTGTGGTTGACAGTTAAAATGCGATTTTTAGTAAAAAATCGGTCACGAGTGTCTATCGAGGAGATGGCGCATTATCGTGCAACAAACGCCAACTTCCTACTGCGTGATATTCTGATTGAATACGACGAATACGATGCACCAAATGCTTCAAAAGACCAAGAATTGAATTCCAAGGGCAAGGCCCTTGGAATCTTAAAAACAAATCAACATTATCTTCACTTTTGACTTCTCCAAACAAGATTTTTTGGATTTTAGTTCGTCTGGCGCTTTCCTTCGGTACTTTGGCCCTTGGTTTCTGGATCATATTGAAATCACCACGTTTCATCACCAGTCACAATGTTATAAAGGATGTTTTTGTCCTTTTTGGCCTCCTTGACTATGTCCTTCGATTGTTGAATTCTGAGCAATTCTTTGTCGTCAGTCAACTTCTGCGGAACAAACCGTGTGCACACTTTTTGGTAGTCCAAATCTTTGGCCAAAATGCGATAAATCAATGATTTTGAGATGCTCAATTCCAATTCTATGAATTTCAAGGACAATTTTGGCTGCTCTTTAATGAATGCACACACAGTTTTCTGCCGTGGTCACGGATTTCGGTTGGCCAACATATTGTTCATCATTTATGTCCTCACGGCCGTTTTTAAACCTCGTATACCCCTCATGGACTCTGCCATGAGCAGTCAAGAAATCTACCTTTCTGACACATGGAATTGCCAATAGATAGGCTCACTAGAAATACTTTTTTTTAAAAGTCCTGTTTACTTTGAAATGCGCTTTGTATACAGGATTTGTAGCTACTTGAAAATACTTCAAACGCGGAAAGTATGTTGTCCCTATTTTTTTTCTAAGAAACACTATTTCAACTATTTCTATTATGTGACATGTTTTCCATGTCTTATATCGACTCTGCTTTTTTACGTCATGTGGGATCGCTTCCTACGAAACGCAAAAAGCGAGGTATAGTTACATTCTTCTTCACCCAATTCACAGTGAACGACATTAAATTTGGAAAAATACATCGTCCGAAACGGACCGAAGGCATTAATTACCAAAACAAAAATTAAAGTGGAGCTACAACTGCTGCGGGACATTTTAAATGTCTTGCATGATATATATCTGTAGTGGTTTTTAGATATTGCTTTTTTCATTTAGTGGAAAGAGAAGTGTAATGTCTTTTTTATCTCTTGGGACGGAAAGGAAAGGGTTGGAGCATAAATCATAATTTTAATTCGTAGACTTGTTCATTAAGGCACAATTGAAAAAAGTATCATCGCGTGCTAGATGTAACGTAAGGCATATACGTGGTTGTTTATCTCGCGCTATCTTAGAGAAATGCACACCTTAGAGAAAATTATTTGTTAATGGGTAAGATATTGGTTAAGAATTTTTATTAAAAATACATAGACGCTTATCATTAATATATTTTATACGTTCGTATAAAATAATTTTCATTGAAATGAAAACAAAAATTATATAAAAAAGGAAACGGTCATTATGTTATAAAAAAATACAGCTCTGAATTTTGACAAGTGGGAAAAATGTCAGCAAGGTTAAAAAATTAATATATTTTTTTTAATTTGGACAAAATTTAAGTTACTATTTCCGTTTAACTCATATCTGTGAAAGTAATAATTTCATTATGACTTAGTAAATATGAAAGTAACATATTTTCTTTCTTAATCCAAAAATGTTGTCTGTTTTCCCATTTAAAACACTAACCTAACTAAATTTTACCTGAACTTTCTTATCAATTTACTTAATTCAAAAGGACATGCATGTATGTATTTCGTATGATCAATTTTTCGAAAAAAAATCCCATCAAATGAAGCCAAGCAATGTTCTTCGATACCAAAAAGATATGGTAAAACATATCTAATCTCAAAGACAAGATTTTTATGCTTTGCAATTTTGGTATCGAAGCAAATTGATTTCATTTGATATATTTCATCAGCAATAACTAGTGGCACCTCAAGATCATTCAGGAATGCAGATAGAGATTCATAATAGTTATCAGGAAGAACATGTAGAATTGAACAAATTTTCTTATTGTTAGGATTTTCCGAAAAATTTTTACGCTTAATATAAAATAAAATTACAAAAGTTAGTAATAAAATATGTATAAATAAAAAACAGATTTGGTAAAAAAGCCATTTGAAAGAATAATCTTAAGTAAAATGTAGAAATGGTAAGAATTATTGGCTGTTTATTAAATGTTACTGATATAATTATTTGGTGGTTGAAGCAAGTAGCCCTTAGAGAAGTTACCTGCAGTACTGGCAGTTAGGAGTATTGTCTATGAGATTAGATATGTTTTGACTTCATTTGATAGGACTTTTCGCAAAACTTTTGGAATTATTTGTATTAGCTAAACATCTTTAAAATAAAGTAACAAAATTAAATTCGACTTGTTCTAGTGACTAAATAGTTTTAGGTGATACCTTTTCACATTATACAATTCAAGTTAAAATTAGGAATAATTACCTATTTCTATTTTTTAAAACTATGTAATATTTTTAACATTTACTTACTTCAACCAACGGGAGAGTGAAAAAGGGTTATTTTAAAGTTTTTGAATTACACTATACTCCAGGGTCGAAATTATAGAGAGTGATTCATCGCTAGCTTTTGGACCAGTAAGGGGGATGAAGCGTGCCGGGAACGAAAATCCATTGGCGTGTCTGCGTAAAAGGCAACAAAATATAGAAAATAATGAAAAAAGATAATAAAACATAACATCTAATATTTTCTACGGTTTGCTATAACAGGCACTTTGATCCATTTTAATTATTACAGCATTTTAAAACGTCCCAATTGTGTTTTTTTAATTTATAAATTTATTATAGCCATGGAATTAGACCCCTCGTCTACGCTTATGCTATGACGTTTCTCAGGACGGGTTAAATCAAGTCCGTTTACACCCACTAAAAAAGCATTTCCCTATTCCCTACCAAGTGCAAAAGACAGAGATAGAATATAGATCGACGTTCAGTGTAACTCGGTCTCTAGACGATTATAGATTCTATCGATGTGCGTAACGAGCGGCACAAAGATAAATAATATTGAACCGTATAAAAATCATTTTATATTTTATATGCATTATGGTAATAGTGTTTTTATATTATGTATTAGTCACTCTTTATAATTTCGACAGCGGAGTATAGGTAAAACTTTTTAGATTTTTTGAAAGCATTTTTTTTATCCTATACATAATGTTATAATTTTTTTTCTAAATCGGTATATTTAAAATTCACCAAGTGAATAAAAACTGATATTTTAGAAAATTTTGATATTAACAGGTTTACAAATTTATTTAGGACGTCATGAATAACATATGTTGTTAAATTAGAAAATATGGATAAAATAATAAATTACAGAATTAAATTTTAGTTTCACACAGAAATCGCTTAGCCCTTTGCCAAGAAATTGATTTCTTAACTTTTAATAGGCTAATTTAAAAAATTGTTTATGAAACGATCTTTAAAATAATAAAAAAACAGCTACCTGCAGCCTACAGCCGTTTAAAATTTCTTATTTACTTACTTTCTTTCTTTTTACTCCGTTACTGGTTGAGGTATAGAAATGCGACACATACTAAAAGGTA